GAGGTTGCTATTTACCTGTTTATTTGTAGGTATTTATACTTAAGTATTTACTTTAAAAAAGTCTTTGGATATCAAGGAAGAAATACATGTCAAAGAAAAGTTTCAGAGGATGTCTGAGCAGAAATAATGAATGCTATCGAAACAGATACAAGTATAATTTAAATTTAGAAGAACATGACACTGTTTTAGTTCGATATTACGGGAAGAAAAAATGTCAGTATTATGATGGGATAGTACAATTGAACAGTAATTAAACGCAACAAAGCACGCAGTCATGCACACACAACTTAAGACATTTTCCTTTTTCTGCCGACTTCAAAAAGGAGACGGTAATCAATTCGACTGTATGTTTTTTTTATGTGTGTTAGCTCATAACTTTTTATTGGGTGAACCGATTTCGATGATTCTTTTTTTTATTTGAAAGCTGGTACTTCACATGTGATCCCATATTTCCCAATTTGATCAAGGTAAGACCAACAGTTTTTGAGTTATCTATACATATAATAAAACTGTAAATAGCAGATGTCTGTACATTTTATATTTTTGTAATAAAAGTGATTGAGGGGTACTAAAAATAAGTAATTAAATACATTTCTACCATTTTTAGAATTTTCTGTCTGTCTGTCTGTCTGTCTGTCTGTCTGTTTGTTTGTTAACGTATCACGTATAAAGTACTAATTTATATCATAAGAATTGTTAAGGAAATTATAAAGTGTATCTTCGGGTTACATTTAGTCTTTATTTCATTAAAATCAGTTCATTCCATCAAAAGTTATGATAAATATTCTGAAGTATGGGTAGGGAAGTATAGGTACGAATTTGCTCAACGGTGGCTTTGTTTGAGTCATCAAGTGCATTTTAAACTAATATCATATCATAAATCATAGTTAAATTATGTAAAATAATGATATAATTATGTATATCTAAAACGCAGTAAACAAAAGTATTAAAGAACGTATTAAATATATTATACAAAAATATATTAACCTTATTAACTAAATCTGAAGCACAATAGTTTTCCCATTTCTTCGATAGATGGTAGTGTTGTGAAAATGCAATGTGGTTTTTTCCTGTAGATGAGTTTTCATATTTACTGCTAATCTTTATTATATTACTCGCTGCCCTACTGCGTGTTGACAAACTCAATTTATTCTTTACCGCCGAGTACTCTATGTGGTAAATCAAATTTTAAAAGAGCTATTAACAAATCGTTGGTTTTGGCGAGAGTCAAACTTTATTTTTTGCTTACTGTGCAGGCACTGATTTATAAGTTCTCTTGCGTTTTATATAATGTATCAATCGCGTCAATTAATCTCTTTTATTTTTAGAATTGATGTTAGCAGCGCCATCTCTCTTTAAATATATACATATAATAAAAATGATGATAACATGTTGTGTCTCTTTCTGTACATTGTATAGGTATATATTTTGGTGGCTAAAATCATTATGGGGAACTGAAAATAATTAAATAAGAACATTTTATAATTTTTAGAATTGTCTGTATGTCTATTTGTCTGTTATTATATGAACGCATCACGTCTAAAGTAAACATCTTTTATTTTCAAAGAAATCGTTAAGAAAATCATAAAGCGTATCTTCGAGTTACATTTAATCTTTGTTTTATTAAAATTGGTTAATTCTATCGAAAGTAATGATTATTATTTTGAAATGTAGGTTCGAATTAGTTCAATGGCGCCATAAAATCTCAGAAATAGTAATAAAAAGATTTGTGTGTAAAAAAAAAACGTTCCATAATAATTAATATACTTAAAACACAAAAAGAGATTTAAAAAGGATGTTTTCTCACACAAAGGACGTAATAGATGGAGTTGTACAAATTACAAACTTTTCTGAATTGCTGTGTTGAGATTTTTCGCCGATGAATCGTATTGAGACTTGCTGAAGAAATTTGTATCCATCGAAGCCATACAACGGAATCCGACCAAAAATAAAAATTTTGCAACGAAATGTCGTGATATTGTATTTATAATATACGCAAAATCAGTACTGCCATTTTAGCGCTTTGGGAACTAGATTTAGCGCTTTTTTGGAATGTATAGCGCGCATTTCGAAATTTTAGCACCTAGCTTAATCCAGCGCTTTTTGGTATATTTAGCACACATTTCAATATTTTAGCGACTAGCGGGTTATTAACCCTTTTATAGTAGCACTGTTAGTCCACATTACCGATAATAATAATAATGACCTTTATTATTTTTTCCCACAAATAGTACATTGCAGTTTATCTTTTTCAAACATATTTTTTCCACAAAACAAAGAGCATGGGAGACGAGTCCAAACTAGGATACCTTGTGCTATGGATCTCCTGGCTTCCCCTTTAGGATGATCAACTTGATTTTTTTACCGACGACTATAAGCGGGGAAATCCCCTTTATTAAAGTTTTTGTTCATGGTTTTGGCAACGCATTTATTTTGCTTTATTCAGTTTCAGTCAGTTGCTTAGAGCACAGCTATTAAGTTAAAAGTTACTTAGAAGTTATAACACAAAGAAACTGTGTAGCAACCGCAATCAGATGCTGACATCTGAAACTAAGTTGCAAAATACATTGCACTTTAAAACAATTAATGACATTTTTATTGTTCGTACAGTACTAACTACTGTTGACAGCAATTGCCATAATTATAAGTCGATGTCCTGCGAAGTATTGATACATCAAAAAAATATTGCCAGAAAAAAAACTTAATGTTGTTTTCTTTATTATGATTATATAAAAAAACACAAACTTTGTTTGTAGTTAATTTAGCGCGAAATCTAGGGCTTTTTTAAAGCGCTGTTTTCATGAAATCTAGCGCTTTTTGTGTTGTCCTAGAGCTGAATTAGTTTTTTTTTATCTGGCAGCACTGCCCAAAAACCCTCTATTAAGAAGTAACTTTCCTTTCAGTTTTAAGCGCGTTCAGTTCCCAGTTACAGTGAGCGTGTGTTATGCGATGACCGTAAATAAAGCGCAAGGTCAAACTTTACGTGTTGTAGGAGTGTACCTCAGTACTGACTGTTTTGCACATGGCCAACTCTATGTTGCTTTTTCCCGCGTTAGTAGCCCCCGTAACCTTTTAGTGTACACCCCGGCTAAGCCTACTTCTCACGTCGTTTACACAGAAGCTCTATCATAAACGACTTAGAACTTTGATGATAATGATTTATTTAGTTACCACTTATTGATACAGTAATGAAATAAATCGTTTAATATTCTCTTACCTAAACGACAAATTGTTTATGTAAAACCTGTATACGCGAGCTACGCCGCGGGCACAGCTAGTTCTTAATAATTTATATTGAAGTCGGCTATGTACAAAATATTTAATTTTGAATTATTCTTTAATCTATTCAAGTTTAATAGAAGAGGGACAAACGAGAACTGTTAAACTGATGGTAAGTGGAAGTTGTGGTCCATAGCCGGCTACATCTATTCTCGAATAAGAATCAAAATGCAGACGCGTTGTCACCTCTGTGGACTAAGATGAAATGCCACAATACCGCGAGAACGTAAAGCTTAAATGGTATGCTATATTATGTATAGGATAATACCCAGGGGTTGTCGTAGTTCTATAATATGATTTATAAGAGTAAGTGCATGTGCAATGATTTCTTTTATTTACGCGAATACTACAGATTTAAATCAAAATAATTTTACGGATTTTATCGCGTATATTTACTTATTTTATATTCCCGCGTCGAGCACTTTACAGCACCTATGGTCACGGGGGGGGGGGGGGGGGGCTGTGGTGTATGACGTCCCAATGTCATAATTAACCTTATTATTAACTTATTAAACCTTATTAACATATTAACCTCCAGATTAAAAATTATTAATTTTTGTAAGTTCATACTGTGTAAATCGGAACAAGTTTTATTTAAAAGTACCTACATGTGTATTTTTCATACATAAATTTACACGTGTTAGAACCACGCTGCAGCTATATTATGGTTGTAGCACGAATGAGTCGGCTCGAAAAGACTACGCTCTCGAAGAATAAAGGCGTAAAATTGCAGCTTAATGCTGCTGTGTTTTATTGGGTATAGATATGGTAGTTTCATGTGGCGTAGAAAACCGGAGACCCTGTTTACTGGAAACGAGGCATTCCATCCTAGTCAGGGATGACAACGCATCTGCATTTTAATTCTTAAACGAAAACAGATGTAGATGCCTATGTGCCACAGTATCCACTTAGCTTCAGGTGGATTGTCTGTTTATCACTCTTGTTCTTAAAAAAAAATTGGATAAAAGTAACAAAAAGGTCGTCCCTCGTGTTGGAGGCGTAAGTGAATCTATCAACTTATTTCGTCACATGGGTGTCTTAAGACTATGAGAAGAACAAAAAGACCTCAAGGCCTCTGATAATTGGTCATCTATTTATGGTATATCATAATATAATAACAGATGTTACAAGCGACGGGGAGTAAATTACATAATAATAAAATAAAATAATGTTAGATTGTACATTATTTTATATAAGTGTATAAAAACAGAACAAACAAAACTTTCACAATTATTTACTCGTATCTCTCTTTTACAATTAATAATATGAAATCTAAGCAAAGGTCTAATTGTACTAAATTCATCCTATTTCACGACTGGACGTAACGAGAATTCCATTGTTTTCCGTGTCGAGTAACAGCTCCGAACAATTCCTTGACTGCGGCACTCTCCGTGCTTCATCGGGTAAGCATTATAAATAGCAGAGTTGCTGGTCCATCGGTACCATTGCTTCACAGACCGAGCAAAGGGGCACTAGATCCCCCAAACCTAAAACACAAAATACTAAACATTTGTGAAAGTACTGGAAGGTTCGTTAGGTGTTTGATTTATTTATTTTCTAGTTAAAAAATTTCCCGCTAAAATATTTCAACTTTTTAAACAGATATTATATTTGTACATAATTTTTGCTAGTTTGTGTTCAAATTTATAAAAAAAAAACGTTTTTGTTTCATAAAGTGTTTAATGTAGAATTAACGTGATTTCAGTTCGACTGAAGGAAATATGAAGGCTTTCACGGCAGTTTTGTTTTGCGTGGGTAAGTATTTTTCAAAAACTTTATATTTGTAAATATATCCGCATGAGATCCATCAAATATAAATATTGATAAAGGGCGGTAATCTGTATCGGTGCTCACTTTTTTAAATATTTAAAAGCAAAGGGATCTTTGCCCATACCGCTTAGTCAGACGTGCATTTTGTTTGACGTGATTTTGAAGACAGCCTAACTCAGTAGGCTTTGAACGCGATAGAATCTCAAGGAGCCAAGTGGATAAAATAGCTTGAGGTTTATATTACCATCGGCATCAGAACACTTGCCACAGCTCTCACAGTTTCTAATGATAGTTCACATGTGTAGAAATTTAATACAAAAATCGCATCATTTTTTTATCTCGGACCATTATTTAAAATAATACAAGACATGAGCACCAAACCGCTGGTGATCAAGTTCTCGCAAAAAAACCACGTGAACCTCACTTTTATGTGAGAAAATTTTTCTACTTTATTATTTTATTTTTGATAAGTATTAAAACTAAATTGTTGGAAAAGTTCAGACAAACAGAATGAGAACTTTTTAAACGTCAGATTTTGTCAACTAAGAGAATAAATAACAATAAATCTAAAACAAACGGGAAGTTTTATAAAATAATGTTTTATTAATTAAGAGATAAGATCATTTATATCATATATTTCCTATGGTATTATAAAATCACAGTCTTTTAAATCTACTTGTCGATACAGACCTTTTTATGAATGACAATAACGGCGAATAATAATTTGTAAAGGCGGAGTTTATACAGGTACTAGTAGTGTCGCTCCCCGTCATGTCACGAGACTGTGGTATTTGGATTTGATGAATTATTTGCATGAATTATTTGTATCAAAACTATGTTGTCGGGCAGTTGGTAGGGTACCACGTACAACTGAGGGTATGTGTACATGGAGAATATCTAGTATATTTCTTCTTACATCCAATATCTTTATCTAATTACGAATATTACGTTTGATTGATCAATCACTATTAAGATGTCAATGGAAACTTTTTATTAGCATTTTGGAAAGAAAAGTATGGGGTTGAATGGTAGGGAATGCCATAAGGTATTAAATCCGGTATTGTATCCATATATATTTTAAGGTGTCTTACATTAAAGATTAAATGAATAAAACTATATTTTATGGACTCTCCATCTCACTTGAGATTTTTCCAAAAAGCTGCTAGCTTATTCACTAGCTTTGTTAACATTACAATGAAATTCGCTTTGTAGTACATTGCATAGTATGTTTTATTTATTTTTTTCCTATCGAAAAGTTATAAATCATACGACCCAATGTAGACTAAAGTGGCGCAAGACACGGCTCTGTTGCTTAGTGACTTAGCAATGAGTTACAGTGCTGATGGGCGCGAGTTCGAATCTCGCACGGAATAAGTATTTGTATATCCTAATAGCAATTGTTCTAGGTCTGGATGTTTGAATTTATGTATGTAAACTACTCCCCCACGATACAGGAAAAAATCCAAGTGTTTAGGTTAGGTTTTTTATAGAAAAAAAATGAAGTGACTATAACTTTGATATCGGACCTAGATTTCATTACTTTTGAAAAATAACAATAGGCTTATAGGTCAATCGTGAGATGCTCGTAGACTGTTGCTTTATTTAATCTTTCATTGCACGAGAAATAATCACTCCAAAAATTACTTTCTAGATAAATATGATGAATACATAACACACGCATAATATGTGTGAATCACACCATTGATTACAGTGAAATACATAAATATTGTTATGTGACAATCGGCAGTGCAAGTTCCATATGCGTAATATTTTTTTAGGTTCCCCTTGTAGTAAGTCAATTTATGTTAAACAAAATTTAACTCATATTAAACGATGAACACTTAAAACACTAGGCGTGAAACAGATTAGAAACGTTTAGAATTTATACTGATATTTTCACACGTTTTTTAAGGTTCTACGTTTAAAAAAATAATAAAGTGATTTTCTTGAGGAAACTCTTAGAATAATATCCTTTATAGCTACTTATAAGAAAGAATTAAGTAAATGTTTTTCTAGTACAACTTAAGAGCACTTCAAAAAACCTTACTTAATTGAATCGTGACTATTTGTCAAATTAATAATAAAATTCAAATTCGTCTTCCAGGCGCACTCTCCATCGCATCATCAGCACCAGTCAACCGGGATTCCTCGCCACAAAACTCGGAGTATCAATACGAATACGATAACTCAGTGCCCCAAGCAGGCCAAGCGCAAGAACCAGCGGAGTCTGCAAGCCATTACGATGCTTACATCTCAGATGTTCAAGCCGCAGCCGTGGGTGACGGTAAGAAAGGCTACAGCCGAGGCAGCGGATTGAGGACAATCGCAGTAGGTTCAGCAAATCAAGCAAAAACAGCGCTTGGTAACCAAGCCGCTGCCGCTTATCAAGCTGCTTACGTAGCGAAGAATACGCTGGCCCAGTCTGCGGCGCAAGCTAGTGCAACAGCACAAGCGGCGCTGGCCGGGAAACAGGTTATCCTGTCAGGATTGGAGCAGCAAGTGAGGGATGCAAAGGTCGCGCTTCAGGGTGAAGAAATGCAGCTGCAACAAGCCAGGAGGGCTGCTCAATCAGCTGCCCAGGCGGCTCAGCAGGCTATGCATCAGGTAATATTACTCACTCTTATTTTGTTTTTTCGAAGTTCTTGCTATTTCATGAAGTAAAAAGTAAAGTTCCCGCTTATATACGTCCCACAGCTGGGCACAGGTCTTCTCTCATTTTTCATTAGTCCCGGGCGCAGTGTTGGCATATTTCCTGACGATGTTTTCCGTCACTGCCAACGACGAAGTAAATCAGCACTTAATATTGTAATTAACAATTTAATTGGTTGCGTCGGGATCGAACTCGGGTGCTCGCGTACTGTGAAATTTAGCTTATTATTGCATACGCTCGAAAGTAACTAAATTATTTAGAACTTCCTTTTCTTTGCCTGTTGTTTTCTTAAAAAAATGTTGGTTTCTCTTAGTATAATTGTCTCCTGTATTGTTGTTTTACACATAAATTGCAAATGGACAAACCTGGAATTCAGACCCAGAACAATTATTTGTTGGTCATATAAACATTACAACCTGTGATGAAGCCTTTTATGCTTCAACCAAATTATCCAATGCACTAACAAGAAGTATAACATGAAATTTTACTTTATTTACATTAGGTGCTTTAAAGAAAATTAAATATATGTAATTATAGGCTGAATGAAACTTCCTCTGCCATCCACAAAAAAAAATTAAATCGTATATTATATTATGTAAAGATTACAAAATTAATAGAAGAATTTTAATTACCTATTGCACAACAGAATTTCGTTCTCCTAGGAGTAAAATAACGCAATAAGATCTGTAAAAAAAGTCAGTCTAAAAAAGAACCGCTCAAAAAAATTTGCGCGACACCAACAGTCAGTGTTGCGCAGAAAAAGCTGGCTGCATTGTATAAAACTGTTGGCTATAGAACATAAAAAATAAAAATGTCTTGAGAGTAAATTAATTATAATTTATGTAATTTTTGCGAACGAGACAAATTTTAAATAAATACCCTGTAACGATAATAAAAATATATAACGTTAAAACTTTAAGAATACTTTGAACGTGGTTACACGTGCTTTCTTACGTGGTAGAGCCATACTGCAGCTATATTATGGTTGTAGCACGAATGGCCGGCTTGTTCGTCGGCTGGACCGAGATGGGACCACGCTCTCACAGAATACCAGCGTAAAATATCAGCTTAATGCTGCTGTGTTTCGTATGGTTAGTGTAGAGAACCGGAGACCCATTTTGCTGGAAACGAGACACTCTATCTTAGTCCTCAGGGGTACAACGCATCTGCATTTTGATTCTTAATCGAGGATAAACGTAGATGTCTATGGGCCACAGCATCCACTTATCATCAGGTGGACTGTGTACCACCTGATGATAAAAAAATACGGTATAAAAAAAGGCCATGTTGTGGCTACAGCATAAATGGGTCGGTTCAAACGGGGAAGTTCACGCTCGCATAGAATATCAGCGTGGGTGAAATAGCGTCATGATTCTGCTGTGATTCGTATGGTGGCAATCGGAGAAACTTTGTATTGTTAACAAGTATTGTTTCCATCTTAGTCTTCAGAGGTGACAACGCATCTGCACGTTGATTCTAAATCGACGATAGATTTAGGTTTCTTTGGACCAAAGTATCCATTTATCATCCTTGTAACCCTTACATCCATTAAAAAAAATAGTAAAATTATAAGAAAACGCACACATTATGAGCTTGCCTTTATGGTGAAAACTGAAAAATGCAGCCTTCATTGGTCCAGTCGTAAATTCGACAGCTGATACCGGATCAGTTATCGACATTTTCTATCAAAAACTTCTCAGAAGCAGCCCGGTGTCAGGAAATTGGCGGTGTTTCACCCCCGAGCCTCGGAAAATAGGTATAAATATGAATGTTAACAAAGTACAGTATTCTTTTTCTAAATGACAAATAAACTGTACCTTTACAAGTAGGTCAATATTAGTCATAGCGTGACAGATGCGAGAAAATTTAATTACCTTTTTTCACTAGTCTCTTTTTTCAACAATGGTGAATAAATTCGCAATAACGTCGACGGGTTACTACACGTATTGACCAGAGCAATGGAAAAACAGCGTTCGGTGTTACTTTTGCGAAATGAACTTGAGAAAGATCGTTATGATAGAGCTGTAACTAGTAAGCTGATGAAATTAGCAGTCTTTCCATTGATAGATCATTTGAGATTGCAATATTAAAAGGAATTTGGAAACACAAGTGTTATATAATTTACTGACTGGCTATCAATAAAATTTAATACATGCATCAAATTTTTCTTCTAAACTGAATTTAGAAGAATTCTATCGACACAAGAAATACAATAAATTTATTTAAAAAGCCTTTTTCAATCGAATTCTTCATTTCTATTCTATTTCCTATTGTATAGGATTAATTTATTATGTATTACTACCTAATGATTTCTTAAATTTACGCGAATACTAACACTAATGTACTCTAACTAATTTTACGGAATTTATCGCGTTTTAAATTCAAAATTTTTAATTACCAACGTTCCTTTTTTGCTATTTTAAGTGCTGATTTACCACGTGCTTGTTGTTGAAGGATAACGTAAGGAAGAAAAAACATTACGTGTATATATGAAGTTCAGGAACTACTCGAACAAAATTCACAAACCATTTGTCACAGGTCGCCGCCAATTCCTTAAATTACATTGCAAATTATTTTGAAATATTTTTGCAAATACATTATTGTTACTATTGTAGTCATTGACGTAAGAAATGTATTGAGAAGTCGTCACGCTCCAATTCCTAGCCATGGCACTAGGTATTTGTGAGCGGTGCTGTTAGGTAGTTGCCTAGTTTAGGGTAAGAGAAGTGAATGTACTATTGGTAATATTTTCAGTTTTCATTAAGGGGCCTATACACCATCGGCCATGATTGACAACAACAGAATGGAACATGATTGTCACAATCATTCCACGGCTGCGCACACATTCGTGCATCCTACATATTTGTATTGTCATCTGTCCGAGCTAGACGTTGAAACAGTAGCAGCTGCCGCTATTTATTTTCCTTAGTTTATAATATAACTATTGTTGGAATGTAGACCATAACAGAATGGTGGAAAAAAGGAATTTGTTCTATTTTTACTTGTTCTAGAACAAGGTAAATTTATAGAGCATCGGCGTTCGACGATCATGTAGACGCGCGCACGATCATAGCCGAACTTCCTTTGATGTTTGTCCGAAAAACCGACACAGCGGCCATTACGCTCGATCATTACCGAACATGGCTAGAATTCGTCCATCATGGCCGATGGTATATAGGGCCCATTACACCGCCACCACACGGTATACTATAAAATAACTAAAAATAAAAAAACATGGTTGCCAACCCGTTTCCCAAGTGTGGCAACTATGGCAAATATCCCCCTATGAGGTAATATATGGGGTAGGCCCATTTTTTTATAGGATAGGGTGACAAACGAGCACACGGACCACCTAATGGTAAGTGTTTGCTGTGGCCCATAGACATCTACATTTATCCTCGATCAAGTATCAAAATGCAAATACGTTGTCACCCGTGAGGAATAAGATGGAATGCCTCTTTTCCAGTAAAATGGGTCTCCGGTTCTTTACACTCACTATACGAAACACAGCAGCATTAAGCTGCTATTTTGCGCTGGTATTCTGTGAGAGCGTGGTCCTTCCCCGGTCGAGCCGACCCATTCGTACTACAACTATACTATTAATATAGCTGCAGCATGGCTCTATCATGTAAAGAAGCCTATGTTCAGCAGTGGACTTTAGTGGTAAAGCAAGTGGCAGAATGATAGCTGTCCACAGTATTAACTACCGAGATTCGGACCATGCATAATATAATTGCTGCAATAACATTTTGTTATTATTTAGTACTGTCTTGTAGAAAATAATTAAGTTTAATATGAAAATTCAACAGCGAATCTTCTAAAGATTATTAGAATGGTATTTTGGTATTCTTTTCTAGGGTACACTTTTTGATTTACGCGCTTCGTTTTAACTTATTCTTTTGGTGTGGGTATAGATTAAAGAGAAATATTGAGTATAGATCTTAGGGCTTTTGTGTAAACATAGTAGGTAGGCAAACTTTGGAAGATGTAAAAACTATTGCTAATGATATTGCCTTTAATTTTCGTTTCTTATTTCTTCTTTTTCTTTCTGTTAATTGTAAGCGGTAACACAACCAATACACATGTTTTAATAGAATAAGGGCGAACAACGAGCACACAATCCACCTGATGGTAAGTGGACGCAGTGGCCCATAGATTACATTTATCCTAGATTAAGAATCAAAGTGAAGATGAGTTGTCTCCCCTGAGAACTAAGATGGAATGCCTCGCTTCCAGTAAAAGGGGTGTCCGATTCTCTACACTCACCATTATCACACAACAGCATTAAGTTGCTATTTTACACTGGTATTCTGTGAGAGCGTGGTCCTACCCCGGCCGAAACGACTCATTCGTGCTACAACCATAATATAGTTCAGTATAATGGCTCTAACACGTCAAATGGGTTCTCGGTTAGAATAAATGATTTCATTATATCTCTACTTATTCCACAGGTGAACGTCATCCAAGCAGCTCTTAACGCCGCGCAGGCGACATCAGAAAACGCGAATGAAGCCGCCTCACAAGCAGCCGGTGAGCTTGGTGCCCAAACTGCTATGGTTGGGGCGGCGCGACAGCGCTTGCAAACTCTGCAGGAACAGCTCCATGGCGTCAGGATCGACTTTGAAGCCACTCAAGGAGCCGCTAGGAAAGCCCAGGTAAGTTTAAATGACCACGAGATAAAACACTGGAAACTGGAGCGTCTGCGATTTGTAAGTATTACATTATTTATCATGCTCGGTTCAATTCAAGTGGAAAAGGAGGAAAAGGAGATAATTATATTCTGAATATATCTTTGCAAGATGAATTAGGACAAATTAATTTAACCAAATAGATGTGGATGGATTAAAAGTTATCTATAAAAAAAATAAAAGAGCTTAGGAATTCACATCATATGCATTATATGCTTAGGCAGAGATAATATTAAAACTGCAGGCACCGCTATTTGCATTTTATCATGTCCAATTTAGATATTAAGATAGGTAAATACGTCAAATATGACATCTACCAAAAATACCGAGTTCTTTCCGATCGGCTTGACTCACTGGCACTACGTAGAGATGTTGCATCTCTTTGCGTATTTTATCGCATTTACCACGGGGAGTGCTCTAAGGAATTGTTCGGACTAATGCCAGACGCTCAATTTCACTATCGCACATCGCGACAAAACTCGCAATACCATCCATACAATCTGGATGATTAGCGGTCCACCACTGTGCGATTTAGAAGATGTTTTCTTCCTCACACAACTTCCCTGTGGAATCGATTACCAACAGCGATTTTTCCGGACCGATACGACTTAGGGACCTTCAACAAAAGAGCCTCCTCCTTTTTAAAACGTCGACAACACATCTGCAATTCCCCTGGTGTTGCAGTTGTTCATGGGCGGCGGTAGTTACTTACCATCAGTTGAGCCGCAACTCATTTGCCCCATCTCCTATAAAAAAATACAAGGGAGGCGGGAGCAGTTTTAATTTCGACGATCTCTCTCTCTTAGTTAATGTTTCTATTTTCATCCTATTAATTTTATTTAACAGAAAATTTACATCGCAACACGAAATAATTCCGTTTCATGACATTTGGCTTTGACATGCATCCCTACATAAATATAAAAATAGAGTTGACGTTGATTATATATAAATCAAAATGGCCATCCTTCAATGTTATTTGACCGCGTAAAGAAACTCCCGCCGGGCCAGAGCCAACACTCCATGTGGCAGTAGTGGTAACAAGTAACTTGCTCCATATATTGCAGAGTCGTTCGAAAACTTCGATAACGTGATTTAGACTTCGGTTAATTTTACGCTTGTGGCGTGACTAAAACACCGCCACAGTCCTTCTTAGCGATTTTTCATGGCTATAACTTTTTATAAGTAATTATTGATGATTAATTGTCAACGTTTTCATAAACAGGAAACGGGGAATGCCAAGATGTATATATTTGAAGACATAAAGATTTCCGTGCGATATTAACTTCGGAAGACGGAAAGATTGTTTTCATTTGTCGTTTCTAATCTCATGTGAATCTTAAGTCTGAAATAAATATTTATACATGCTCTATAAACCTTTAATTTCTTTCTTTCGATGAATAACATATTTTTACTCCAATAACTCTTCTCAAACAAGATAGAAGAGAGTGTTCAAGATGAACTCATTGTATTCTAGGCTGCAGCACAACAGGCGCAAGCTAACGCAGCAGAAGCGGCGGCGAAGGCTGCAGCGGCTGGTCTCTCCTCCGGCCAGCACCACGATGCCTCCCACGAAGGTACGAGCTACGAAGAGTACAAGGCTGCCCCAGAGCAATCCAGCCAAGATTATTACGTTCAGTCGGACTACCAACGCTAGTAACAATAAGGTTTTAGGTAGAACTATATCTGAAGTTTAGGGTATTGTCTTTATTTTTTTGGTGCCTGTAAGGTAGATACAAAAAATTACTGATTGTTTTATAGTTACCTCTGTATTTATCTCAGCATTTTGCTACCAGTGTTGTCAGCTTTTGGTACAAATTATTCTTAACCAAAAGACACACATTTATAATCTGTGCATGAAGCACATACAAAGACAATAAAATTGATGCAATGCGCCCAAACATCAGGTAATATAATTATCATAACCAAGATTATAACAGGACAATGTTTAAAGTTCATTCCAATATTTTAAACATTGTTTTTAAATAGACGTCCTGTTGTAATTTTGATCTTTTTTAAATAAGTATATTAAAAACTGTAAATAACTTTTTTATGAGTTGCTAGAATAGAAAATATTTCTTAAGTTCTTTTTAAAAATACAAACAAAAGTATTTATTACAATTTTTAATTTTATACATTTATATGCTTGCGGTAATTTTAGACAAAGATGGAAAAGAAAGGTTTAAGAAAATATTACTAACTGGCAACATTAAGTGCGATGTCACAGAAACGAGTGCGTTCAGTATAGTGGATACATGTTTAAAATAAATTGTTATTATTTCATTTTATTTTATTTTTCGGAGTTTCGTTTAAACGTGACTGATTTTGACTATAATCTTGACTTAATGAATGACTTTTGACTTGATTGACATCTCACTTAGGTATACCATTACTGTATGACATGACTAACCCCTAACCATACTAACAAATGGCTGGTGATAAAGAGAAAGAGAATCATTACGTTTAGCTGGTAGGATCAGAGACAGCTGTACTGTATCATCACCATATAAGAGAACCACATTCATGGAAAACTAATTCACAATATTAAAGTTTGACCTATACCACATAAGTAAATCAAACTACAACAGAATGCATGGTCAGCACTTAATTGTCTATGTTCTATTATCAACATATTTTCAGCTGGAAAAAATGTATGTTGTTGTTAGTGATTTGTAGTTGTTAAATATAATTAGGAATACATGCATTTTTTATTGGTAGTGTGATCAAACAATTAATTATTCAATAATTAATGATTAAACGAACTTACCTTAAGAGAAGTTCTATCATAATTATACGAGATGCTTCGTCCGAAGCAAATTAGTAACTGAAACTTATTAAACGCAGGCTCCTATTAAACACAAGTTATTAACCTAGAAGGACGAAGCACGAAAAATAATTGCCGTTGGCAAATCTTGTGCTGTTATATTTGTTTAGACTTGAGGAGTGAGCAAATTCCATTCATGTTTCCGTTTCGTTTACTTTAAAGCTTCAAAAATAAATATAATTTTAATGTGTGATTAGGAAACACTATTATAACAAAATTATATCTAACCTAGGAAATACAATAAAGATTTCGCAACGACAACTGCCATTCCAGTTTCCATTTTAGTTTTACTAAATATTTTATCATTAGAGTGGGAAAGTGATAGGTTTATTCATTTGTTGTCTCGCCTACGGACGAATCGGTATGATTCGTAAAGCGAGTTCTTTCTATTTCAGAATCATCTGCAACACTAGAGTTTCAATCGTCATCTGCCGGCGATAACCCAACCTTTTTTCTTATTCATCAGCAAAACTTAAAAAAAAAGAATTTAAAAGAACCTTCAACCACATAATAAATAATAACACAAGAACTTCAACAGATGGTCCACAAAAGAAACCATCGCAAACCCTGGCGTTTAATATGTCTCCATACTCCAGACCAAAGATATCAAATATTAACGGCGCTTTCAATATTTATTTTCTACAGGTTCAACCAACTTCTATCAAATCGTTTTTTGTTAATGCTACAGTACCACCACTTAGGTCTAGATATATTGAATTGCTAGATACTAACTCCGTGTTACAAGGTTTAAAGGCACTGTTTAGAAACTCAATAGACTAATTTAATAATTAACTTATGTTCTAACCAAAGAGGAAATATATCTATTTAAAACGGTTATTAGCCATTTCTATTCTAGGAGGTGGTCCTAGATTAATGGATAATGAGTTCCATTTCTGCCAAGGACCGATCGATCTAATTCTATCGCCTAGCAACACTGTAGTTACTGTTCTATTCTGTTTTGAAGAGTAATAGTGTTATAGAGGCAGTAAAATACAGACAAGCAGTGTTTAGTTTACTTGGAATGTTCATCGGAAATATTAGTCAGGTTAATAGCAATATAAAACTTCCAGATTATATTAGTGCTGCAAATACTCAGAACAAATATGTTCTGTTTGTTACTTCATATTAAAAAAAATAGACGGAGCGCGTGAAACAATAAAGTGAAGCCAAAAAAGCAATAATCAAATAGCAAGGAATCATTCAACCTACAGTGTTCACTAGCCGCGATCTGAAGTGCACATCTCATTGTAAAACCAAATATGTCGTAATGTCTTGTATACAAAACTTTATGAAAATTTAAAAAGATTGCTGGATTTGCATTTTGGTGTTCCTTTTTCTGGTTTCACTTTTCAATTCTACGCTCTCTGTCTATCTTATTCTTTGGTCTATGTTAGTAAAGAGTTCTTCTTTATTCTCCTATATATCCTAAGATCGTAAAAAGAGTGGTATATTGATAGGAAAACCAGTTTAAAGACCAATATTTTAATAGAATTATTGTATATTTCATAATATGATTTCCAACTTGATAAGGCCATGAAAGAATAGAAAGGAAGAAAGGGTTGGTTCGACCAGGAAGGGACCACACTGTCACAGAATACGAGCATAGAAATGCAGCATAATACCGAAGTGTTTCGTATGGTCAGGAAAAAGGGAGATCGGGATAACCATTTTACTGTTACGAGACATTCTCTTTTAGTCCTCAGGGGTGACACTGAATTTGCATTTTGATTTTCAATCGATGCTAAATCGTAATCGGTAATCTCATAAGAGTCGTTGAATCACAGCATCTAATTCATCAGGTGATGTGGACGTTTGTCACCCTTGTCACACTTAATCGTTAAAAAAATTGACGCGATGTCTATACTTAATTTCTTGGGCCGTAGCAAGCAGAGAGGTGAGAAAGAGTTAATGTTTTGGTGTCTTTGCTTTATTTCTTTATTTTTCGTTATGGCCAATATAAAAGTCTACTAGCTGAACATAAGCCTCCCGCATCGTTTATCTCTTATGGAGGATATTTGCCATTGTCATGCTTGGCAGGCGGGTTGGCAACCATAGTTTTATCATGATACAGACAGAAATAAATAGGAGGGTAACTTACTATTTATTCCATCGGACTTCTACGGAGGTTTACTACATGATTAAAGAAGAACTATTTACCTAGTAAAGCCACAAAATAAATAATAACTTCCTTTATCTTTTGTATAACAATCTACATAAGGTTTTGCTTTTGCCTATGTAGGATATTATACAAAAAGGCTAAAAATTTATTGATACAATTATTTAATACGGAGTAAAGGGAAATATTAGAATAAATCTAAAGTCAATTTTTTTTTATAGAATGGGGGTGACAAACTAGCACACAGTCCACCTAATGGTAAGGTAAGCCAGGGCCCATAGACATTTACATTTATCTTCGATTAAGAATCAAAATGCAGATCTTTGGCACCCGCAAGGACTAAGATGGAATGCCTCGTTTCCAGTATAAAAGGGTCTTACGCTGGTATTCTGTGAGAGCGTGGTCTTTCCCCGATCGAGCCGACTCATTCGTGCTACAACTATACTAGTAATAATTAGTCAGTCATATTAGTCAAGCTGCAGCGTGGCTCTACCACGCAAAAATATGTAGATTAATAACTCTTATCGAACTAGGTATGTATTTTAATTTTTAATCTTTCTATAATTTTTAACTTTTATGGGTGTCTAAGTCAAAATTTAACTTACTAACAATCTAAAACAAAAATAATTATGTAATCCACTACAACGTTGATAAGTGTGATAAAAGTGTACATAAGTGAAAAATCTGCAATGCCTAAGAAGTGAGTTTTCTTTCCAGAAGTGGCTAAGGAAGAACCAGCAGAAGCCGAAGAGGAAGCGGAAGAAGATTGTGAAGAATAAAACAGACTTACTTAGCCGCCTATAAAATGCCATTTTCTATTTGCTCCATAGATTTAATTTTGTTGTGTATTTTAAGTACAATTTTTTGTAATGAAAAAGAGTTTTTATTTTACTACTTCATTTATTTATTAATTTATTACAGCCTATCAAAGTCGACTACAGAACATGGCCTCCCCCATAGGCTCAAATTATACAGAAGCGGCATAAGGCGAAGGCACGGCATAGGCGCAGCGCAATATAACTTACTTACTTACTTATCTTCACGCACAATCCCTGACGGGGTAGCCAGAGAGAACAGATCGCCAAGTGTCACGATCCTTACATACCTCTTTCGCTTCTTTGAGATTCATTATCTTCTTCATACATGCACGTCTAGGTATCCGAGTACTCTTGACCCTACCCTCTTCGAGCAATTTGCTCACATGGTCTTCGAAAGTTAGTCTCGGTCTACCTCGACACCTTTTAATATTAACATTCGGTCTTCACTCATTCGCTCAACGTGCCCAAACCACCGAAGCACGCCCTTATCAATTTTTGTGATAAGGTTATCTTTCAAACCTGCCATATTGCGAATCTCTTCGTTTCGCTTTCGGTCGGCCATGGTAACGCCGCACATTTTACGAAGAGATCGCATCTCCACTGCATTCAACTTGCTTTTATGCTTCTTCTGGCATACCCAGGTTTCGCTGCCATATAACAAAGTCGGTACCAACACTGCGTTATGTATTGCAAGGCGTGCACTCTTCACTACGCCTTGCCTTTTGACTAACACAGTCAGGGCACCATTGACTTTGTTCCCGGCAGCGACACGCCTGTCCACATCTAAATCACATCTTCCATCCCGGCTAAAAGCACTCCCCAAGTATACAATTTCATTTACTTGTTCTAGACATTCCTGATTTACCCATATTTCACACTTCGTTCTCCCTTCGTCCCTT